ATAATAAACATGAACAGATGTTTCATGGTTTCATGATGTATTGTTTACACCCAAGAACAGTCTAACCTTGAATACAGTCCTCATAAACATGCAGAAAGAAGTGAGCAACTGAGATTATGTAAGATACAGGTCTGAAGCTTTTCTTGCATGTTGAAAAATGTAACAGCCATCTGTGCTCGTCCCAAAACAGTGCAGGGGAAAACAGGCCATTTCTGAGCGGTTCTATAGGATGTGACATGACATCTTTTACATTACAGCCTTTACCTGTTGTGGGCTAGTCGGTTTTAGAGGCCTGAGGATGTTTTGAGAGCACTTAATGAAACGGTCAATCAGGTCATGCTCATGCTCTTAACCTCCAGTAATCAGAACCACCGCAGCATTTAAAGGGCCAATGAACACTCATCTGCTGCTACTTTAACCACCTGACTCTAGGCTATTTGCCTTGCATTTGTCATCTTGTATGACCAGACATTTGACAGCATAATGCCTGATTAATATTCTGGCTGAGAACCAGACACTTAGACATGCAGGAAGAGACTGACTAACTAACTTGTAAAGCGACCAACAATAGTGTAGTAAATGAGACTCACGTCACCAAAGACCTTGTGATTTTCGGGTCACACGTCACTCAAGGTGCGGTTATGAGTATATCAGATGACCATTTCCCACCTTGCTCAGTTCAGAGCGCCAGTCGAGGACTGTTATTTTGGCAATATGAGTGTGTTTCTCACAAGCAGTTCAACAATTTGAGAATCACAAACTGGGGGATGTTGGTCAACTGATTTATCTGAAAGATTGGTGGTTTAGATAGCTAGTAGCCTTGGATTGGTGCTGTTATGTAGATGTTCTGTATATTTGTTTCATAATTAGTTGTTTTGTAATTAACTCCATAAGTACTTGTATTAATTCATTTGAGGTTCAATTTAAAAATGTAAATGTGTTGTAATGTGATGTAAATTAATTTGGTGCACTTTAAAACATAAGGCACGAGAATGCGCCACTTTAACAGAAATGACGTGCTTGTCAGTCACCCCGATGGACTGATGATGAGGTTACGTTATATAATGATACGTTATATAAATAAATAAAAATAAATGTAAAATATAAACACAAAATAAATGTTATCTAAACAGGTTAGAAAACATAGGCTGCAGGTATAAACTAAGCCAAGGTCTTTAGGAAAGAGGTTTGGTAAGTTTATATTTACGTTCCACGGTCGGGTGATCAATCCAGCGGTAGAGATGTCTTCCACAGGTAATGTGTGCAGTGGGGAGGGCACAGAGTTGCGTTCCGGTAGCCGTCGATGCGCTGACCTGGAGGATGCTGAACTTCTGTTGTGCCACAGGGGGTCCTTAGAGCATGGACCGGGCAGCTGGGTCATATGGGTCATCACGGGGTCCTTTGCAGCCTGGCTGTGTTGTTAAGGAGCCGTGTGTTTCAGGCAGTGTCTGCCACTGTGGAGGTCCTTTGCAGACTGGGCTGTGCTGCTTTTGGAGCGGCAAGAGTCAGGTGGGGTCCGTCACTGCTGGGTCCTTTGCATCTGAAGGGCAGCCGAATGCAATATAGAAGGTTTACTCAGGAGCTGAGTTGAACCTTAGCTGTCTTGAAGTCTCTTTCCTCGTCAGGCCAGAAACTCAGAATGCTGTATCTGGTAGTGTCCTTTCCCTTGCAGGATTGGAGCTCAGAACCGTTGAATCTGTTATTGCCTCCTACTACCCAGGTTGGAAACACAGAACTTTGGTGTTTCTGTTATGGCGCTTTTCCACTGCGTGGTACGATTCGGCTCGGTACGGCTCAGTACGGCACGGCATGGTTTGGCTCGGCACGGTAGTACCGCTTTAGAGTGGGTGGGATTATTCACATGTCGTTATAGTTGTGCCGCCTCTACTACCACGACTCCTAAAAAAAACTTTTTCATTCCGCATCACCCCATCAAGCTCTCGCTGGATCCGCTCCTCTGCTATCAACGAAGAACGTCTGTACTTCCACAACAGACAACAAAACTTTTTGGTTGTTAAAAAAAGGTGCGCTCGTTCAAACCAGTTGCGTTCTATCCTTTGCTGGCTGTGCTGATTTAAATCTAGCGGTTCTTTTGTGTTTGTGTTGCAAGTTCAGTGACGCAGGTAGAGACGATTCTCTACGGCCAATCTGTGATCAGCTGAGTTTACACATCACGTTTTGGTAACGGTACGGTTCACTTGGAACCCCAACCGAAGTGGTACTAAAAAAAGTACCAGGTACCAGGTACTGTACCCAGTGGAAAACCCCCCAAAAGTGAACCGTACCGAGCCATACCGTGCCATACCATGCAGTGGAAAAGCGCCATTAGTGTCTCAGTGTCTCTCGGACCGAGACTCAGAACGGAGGTTGATCTGCTATTGTCTCAACCTTGCGGGGCTCAGACTCAGAATGGTTGAATGGTTAAGTCTCTCCGGACGAAAGACTCAGAACCTCAATGTTTATGTTAGTGTCTCTCTGGACGTACCGGAGACTCAGAACAAGGAGTGTCTTTTGGGAAGGTTCCTTTATCTCCTTCTGATGAGGAGGAGACTGGAATCTGGCGCCTCTCCATTCCAGAAATGTGATTGGCCTCTGGTGTTGCCCGTCCTAATGTGGAACTCATTTGCATATAGTGGAGTACAAAGTTAAACAGTGTCTTTAACATTTTACCCATGCAGTTTTTCTTTACCAAATCTCTTTCAAATTATTACCAACCTCATTGGGAGCAAAAAGAGTCCAAACATGATATGAAACTGTTGAACTATCACCTATTCATACCATAATATGTTAATAGGCCTGTTATGTTAACAGTCAATGGCCATCAACGTAAACTGTACTTTATCTGAGGGTGACGTGAATACGTTGTAGTTTACGTCTATTAAAGGTCTCCAAACATATGTATGAATGGATTTGGATAGATCTTTGTGGCCTTTCTTTGTTTCAGCCACTGCTGTTGCATCCAGAGATCTGAAGGAATTTTTATGATAGTCATTTCCTAAACCTTAGGATTGGGTGTGATGTTGAGGGTCAACCCTTAGTCCAATGAGAAGTCCTCTTTTAGGTGGTCGTGAGTGCAGAAGGTCTCCCTTCCTGTCCTGCTCGAGGTGTCTGGCAGTTGTCTTGGCATCTTATCTGATGGTTCTGAACATTTGTTTATGTTCCTCCACCAAGATCCAATCACAGTGTGGCACATCTCCCCCCAGTTAGAGAGGGGCCCTGCCATTAAACTGGTCCTTGGAATGCCAATTTGTTCACTACAAGACAATACTAGTTTATATTGGTACTCTGGTAAGAATGACTGCTGTTTCAGATGGCTGATCTGCAGCAAGAGCATCACAGAGAGATCGAAGGTCTGCTGGAAACAACAAAACTTTTTGGTTGTTAAAAAAAGGTGCGCTCGTTCAAACCAGTTGCGTTCTATCCTTTGCTGGCTGTGCTGATTTAAATCTAGCGGTTCTTTTGTGTTTGTGTTGCAAGTTCAGTGACGCAGGTAGAGACGATTCTCTACGGCCAATCTGTGATCAGCTGAGTTTACACATCACGTTTTGGTAACGGTACGGTTCACTTGGAACCCCAACCGAAGTGGTACTAAAAAAAGTACCAGGTACCAGGTACTGTACCCAGTGGAAAACCCCCCAAAAGTGAACCGTACCGAGCCATACCGTGCCATACCATGCAGTGGAAAAGCGCCATTAGTGTCTCTCTCCTTACAGGACCGAGACTCAGAACGGAGGTTGATCTGCTATTGTCTCAACCTTGCGGGGCTCAGACTCAGAATGGTTATCTGTTACAGTCTCTCCGGACGAAAGACTCAGAACCTCAATGTTTATGTTAGTGTCTCTCTGGACGTACCGGAGACTCAGAACAAGGAGTGTCTTTTGGGAAGGTTCCTTTATCTCCTTCTGATGAGGAGGAGACTGGAATCTGGCGCCTCTCCATTCCAGAAATGTGATTGGCCTCTGGTGTTGCCCGTCCTAATGTGGAACTCATTTGCATATAGTGGAGTACAAAGTTAAACAGTGTCTTTAACATTTTACCCATGCAGTTTTTCTTTACCAAATCTCTTTCAAATTATTACCAACCTCATTGGGAGCAAAAAGAGTCCAAACATGATATGAAACTGTTGAACTATCACCTATTCATACCATAATATGTTAATAGGCCTGTTATGTTAACAGTCAATGGCCATCAACGTAAACTGTACTTTATCTGAGGGTGACGTGAATACGTTGTAGTTTACGTCTATTAAAGGTCTCCAAACATATGTATGAATGGATTTGGATAGATCTTTGTGGCCTTTCTTTGTTTCAGCCACTGCTGTTGCATCCAGAGATCTGAAGGAATTTTTATGATAGTCATTTCCTAAACCTTAGGATTGGGTGTGATGTTGAGGGTCAACCCTTAGTCCAATGAGAAGTCCTCTTTTAGGTGGTCGTGAGTGCAGAAGGTCTCCCTTCCTGTCCTGCTCGAGGTGTCTGGCAGTTGTCTTGGCATCTTATCTGATGGTTCTGAACATTTGTTTATGTTCCTCCACCAAGATCCAATCACAGTGTGGCACATCTCCCTCGACACCGGCAGTTAGAGAGGGGCCCTGCCATAATCTGGTCCTTGGAATGCCATCTTGACTGTTGTTCACCACAATAGTTTGTTTGGTTTTGACATACCATTTAGATGTAACTAAAATTGATTATGACTGCGTCTGATAGCTTAGGCAACTGACTTGTTGCCTTTCTTGTCTTTTAGGCAACAACTTTGCAGGCAGCATTTGCACATAACCTACTGAAACTTATTTCATTATGACGCAGCATAATAGTTTACTAATCTACAACAAATTAGAGAGAGTTTGGTGATAACTAAGCAAATATTTATTTCCTCGGTAGAAATGACATCAGAAGTGGAAAAAGTTGGTCAAAGACATGCATTTATACACAAACTGACCAACAAACCATCTTTATTTTTAATTAGCTAAACTGTCACAGAATAAGAATGCACAGGATAGTGGGATATCATAGGCAGTGAAGGATACATCTGTGCTGCCATCAAAAATCGATCAGATGAAGATCTCAGTTAACAGGATGTGACAGTAATTGGTTTCGGACATGCCTTGTTGCTTTCTTACTGCTGTATGCTGTCTATGAAGGCAAAACGTTTTTTGAAGACAGCTTACATCACAATAATAGGTTAACATGGAAAAAAAATTGTTAAATGAAAGATAGAAAATGAAAATAAAAAAATAAAATGTCTTTTCAGAAATAAGAATGGATTATTACACGGCCATATAATAACTTATACAAGATACTCATAAAAAATACTTATACAAACCTATACAAGAAAATATCTATGTAAGAAAAATATAGTTCTGTTTGCAGAAATTCTCAAAAAATCCCTCAAACAAAACTGTAAATGTCAATCTGATTGGCGCTTGTGATTTATAATTGATTTTTGAGTGTAATATGGATCAGACATCAGTGAAGGTCTGGCGTGAAACTATAAGGTTTGCAGTCAGCACACTTGAAGCGTGTCAAACAGACAGACCTGAGAGACCAAGATGCTTGTTTCAGTCTGCCATCTATCAACATCAGGATTGACTGACTTGCTCTTTGAGGGGCATTTCAGTCTGCCTGGCTAAGCAGAGTGTTGCTAAATGAAGCCCCCTCTGGGACAGTCCTCCTGCATTTAGTACATTATATTTGTGCGTTGTCTGTGTGAATGTGTTTGAGGGTCTGTTGAAAAACGGCATTTGACACAATTGTGCATCCATATGTGAAGTGTTTTCCTCTCCCGAGCACCGGACACCCTCTTCTTGTACTTGACTCCGTGTGTGAACAAGACTGCTAATGCAGCTGCGACAATGCCCCTTTCTCTCTCATTCGTTCCTGTTTAGAGCCTCCAGAAATTGCATCAAAGCCCAGTGCGTCAAACATGGGCAGTCATTATATGAGTAATTATAAATGCGCCGCTGCCTAAAAATAAAGTAGTCAATAATTCACCATGATTCAGTACAAATTCAATATCAGATTTCATCTCCCGGCAGTGCAGTCAATAACTGGCATGCATACGCAGACGCAATATCTTCTGTTTTATTCAAGGAATCTGATGAAGGGGCAAGAAGCATCAGGCCCCTTCAAATTGAGGCATGTGCCTCCTCAGATTGAGTCAAGTGGATTTTTAATTAAACATAGGATTTGAGTCTTTCATAATTCAGCTACACCATTTCAGCTACAAGAAAATATTTGTTGTTTTAGAATATATTAACATTATATTGAGAGTGCAATATGTACAGTACCTTTAATTACATGTTGTCATATGAATAAGAACTGCTTTTAATTAATCTATTTTTTTAATATATTGAAATGTGATTTATTCTTGTGCTTAATCCTTAAGCTTTAAACTGCTCAGCTAGAATTTTTTTTTTTTTTTTGATGAAGCTGGTTGGAGTCATGCAGTGCTGCTCTTTTCAGTAGGAGGTGTGCAGAATACAGTGAAGAGAAAAAGCAGTGCCACTACACAACAGTCAGTTCCATTGCCATGATGCCACTAACACAGCAGGTCAGTCTGGATCTTGTGATGGCAAAACTGAATTTTCAGCATCATTACTCCAGTCTTCAGTGTCACATGATCCTTCAGAAATCAGTCTAATATGCCGATTTAGTGCTTAAGTACAGTATTATCATCAGTGTTGAAAACAGTTGTGTTGCTTAATGTTTTTGTGGACACTGAGATACTAGTGATGTAACGATTCACTCAAGCCAGTTGAAAATCAATACAAATATGTAAGTGTGACAATTCAAATTGGTTGTGGTGTTAAACTCATAGTGATACAGTTGGGGGTGAGAGTTTATATGAATATATCTCTGAGAGGAACTGACTGTCTTTAGATAAGTTTAGATGGCATTTTCTTTTCATCTTGCCTTTGTATAATGCATATTAAAGTAATGTTCATAAGTGCAGCGCTGCTTAGTGGTAACTAAGAAAATGCTGTATTGCTGCTGTTCCATAAGCGCCACCTGCTGTCAGAGAGTGAATTTGCGTCTCATTTAGCCCGTCTGCTGTGTTTGTTTCATGCAGATATGTTTTATGTAGTAGTTATACAAAGCTAAAGTCAGACCATTCTGTTTTTGCTTAAAATTTCGCATCTATGCAGCATCTTTGTTTGGATCGTGATTAAAATGCAGCGGTTGCCTCTAAATGGACAGAACACAGCCAAAGCCTTAGTTTGATTATATGAAGAGGTATCATTTATTTGTGTTATTTATTTATTTATTTGATTTGAGGTTTGTTTTAAAATTTCAATTTAGTTTTTTGACATTTCAATTTCACACACAAAAAAAAAAATGCAGCATTTTGTTGTGAATTGTATCACATCGTGAGTTGACTGAATCGTTACATCCCTATGAGATACAGATTGTTTTCTTCAGGATACTTTGATGAATTAAAAGCATTTTTTTGTAATTATTTGAACTCTTTTGTAACAATGTAAAAGTCTTTACTGTCACTTTCATCAATTAAATGCATCATTGCAGACTTTTGAACAAGTGTAGTCTAGACCAATGTAAAGTCTCAAAGTCTGAAGTATACATCACAGTAACTGTTCAGTCAGTGAGGGTGTGAACTGTGAATTCATCAATGGTTCTGAATGAGCTATTTTGAGCTGACTTATTAAGAAACACCTGTTATTATTTAAGTCATAAGAACAGGTTATTATTTTAAATAACAGCCTGTTCATAAGAGTCATTTGTTCTCAAATCGGATATAACATCTCATGCTGTGTTCATTGTTCTATGCTGAAAATACTGCTGAGCACTCTAAAGTCCACACATATGGACACATACATATGCTGCATCCAAAATTGCATGCTGTCTAGCTACTGCTTTTGGTTTGAAAATTACTTTGTGCCTGTCTAAAGGAAAACTACTTTCCTGTCTGTCTAAATTTATTTATGTTTTGTTTGCATGTTTAATTTAATTATCACATTTGCAACTATTTTAACCATTCTTAGATGGTTTGGTGCTTGTCTAGCTGCCACAGAGCCGGCCTGTAGCATAGGCGGAATAGGCAAATGCTAGGGGCGCCGCACTTCTACATACATCAGTTACCTGATTGTGATAGATGTTCACTATTAAATTACTACTATGTCAAAAAGACCGAAGCCCTCTGGTGCCCAGGGAAGAAAAAAAATAAGAAAAAAAATGTGTATATATATATATATATGTCATATTTACATAGCGTTTCTTCTAACACGCTGAGTTATTTTGCTGAAGGTGACCCCTACACCTGTCTAACAGGATAAAAATCTGTGTTTGTTTTTAACATCAGCAAGCGTAAAGGTCAAAGCAGTGCTTGTGGTGTTTTTCTTTAATGGAAGGCTCCATGGCTCCAGCTGATTTGTGATTTTGTAATGCTAATGGTTCTGTCTGGATGCCGCGAGTACATAGCAATTTATATCAAACGAAACAAAAACATGTTACACACCATTTGTTCATGCTTTCAGTCAGCAACGACTCAGCACTTCTGCCTCAGGTCTGATTAGATATGCGAAAGCCACAGAAAGAAAGAGAGTGAGAGAGAGTGCATTATTAGTGATAACCCCTGGTGCTGTCATGGGTTCCCAGCCAGTGTCTGTCAGGTACTCCCTTTTGAGTACACACCTTTATTGTTCACTGGGTGTGATAAGACAAGTGTTCATCTCTGCTCCCTGGCTTTGCTGTGCATTTCTCATCTCAACAGCTGTCGCGTTAACACTGAGTTCTGCAGCAATAGGCCAGTCAAAATACAATCTGACTCTCTGGCAGCTACGCTGTAGCAGAACGTCGATTGTGACGGCTCTTTAAAGAAAAGTGAGTTTTACAGGCAGTTGATTATATTTTGAACATGTTTTTCTTTTTTTCAATTCTATGTAATTCCACAAGGTAACAAAGTAGGTATTTTCAGAATAGAATCAGTTTTCAGAATAGGCTCTTTTTACTGTTAAATGACAAGAGGTGCTATCATTCATGGAGAAATAAAACCATCAGCATTCCTATTATTTTCCATGGCAGCATTCCTATTCTTTTTCTACTCAGTTGGTGCATGACTCCTCAGTAGATAAAATATTAAAATGAAATGTATTTTCAACACCAGCAAATAAATCCATTATGAATGTATATTAATATTAAAACAGAGCAGAGCATACTTTTGTGATGTGCAAATTTTGCAGACTTCCTTTCTGGTTACACACAACAGTGAGCAAATCAAGGTTTTCTGCTCTTAGAGTAGAGCACAACATACAGGGGTTGTCCAGTTTTTCAGCAGCGTGGATGACTTGCGAGATAATTTTACAAATTTTCTCCCCTGACGTTTTAGAAAATTATTACCTAAGACTTACATGCTATGAAACAAACCAGCCAACTCCAAGATCGATCACAACATTTATGAACTTGACACAGAAACAGGCAAACAACATTTAAGAGTAAATGAATAAATAACAATTTATTCCATTTAAAATCATGTAAACCTACAGCTTTGACAAAAACATTAAGAAAAATATATAGTAAACTTATATGCAAATATATTGTAAATACATGCTAATATAAGCATATATTCAAGTGGGAAAAATCAAATTATAATGTTTAATTTCTACAAACCGCCTGCTAGGGAATTTTTGTAAATAATAAAAGAGCTGGGGGCTGGTAAAACATTTGCTATAATATAATGAAATATTAGTGATATTTGCTTTAAAAAAATATTTTGTCAGAATAGACGGCTCACTTGTAATGATTGTCAATGGCAGAAAAAATATTTTTTAGATGTAGTTACAGCATCTACCAACAGGGGCTAATATAGCCATGCTATCCAGCAAATATCCACCCCTTGGTTTCTGACCAGAATACTAGAATTGTATAAATCCAAAACATTACCTAGAATTTATTTTCTATTTAAATTCTCTGAGCAGCTTTTCAAGTTATTAATTGAATCTGGCTCATACAGTGATAGAGCTGGACCTGAACAACATCAATGAACACTAGCTCAAGATACCTTTCACTTTGCATTTTCTTTTTTAAGCTGTCGTTTTTATGGTACTTTTCTTGCATGAGAGACTGTGTGAAATTATCTTTGGATAGCAGCTCTGTTCTAACACTAGCTCTGCTGACTTATAGCACTCTGGGCCTCATAAAACGGTAATAAGAATGCAGCCTTGTCTGCCGATGGGTGGAGACAGCAGCACACTGCACTTCAAAAAAACATTGCAAAAAAAAATCTATGCACAGTTGGTTTCATCAGAGTAGTGTGAGATGTGAAAACTGAGTGTGAGATTTGTTTTAATTAACTGTCATTCTCTATTTTGTGCTGCAGGGGGACTCACTCTAAAGCACAAATGACTAGTCTAGCACCTCTAGTTTCACACCTGACCTACTAAAAACAGAATAAATTATCTCCACTGAAGCCTGCCTGAAACTGCACCAACAAGACACAATTTATTTTAGAATAGTGTTCAAGGATGGTTATATTTACTGTAAGTACATTTAAGCTAGGTAATAGAGGTTCAGTATTCAGGGCAAAGGTGATTTATTTTGAATGAGGCGGGTGGGTTGTTCCTTCACCCCTGCAGTGAAATCTTGGGTGTAGCGCCTTTCACACTTGAGGAAGAGGGTGAGAGAGCTGTTTCTAGCCTCAGCCACCTCTGGAGGAAAGAAAGTTATTTATAACTCACGCAAGACACCACCAGAACAAAGAGTATTTTGGTGTGACCTGAACGCTATTGTCACTGGGTGAGATGGCACTGAAGATGAAAAGGTTTGGAAAAATCCTGAATATTTATAAACTATGTATATGCAGTGTCACCAAGGGTCATGGGATAAAGTATGAGACCTGACGAAAGCATATATAATCTCACAGGTTATTTTTCAATTAGTTTTTGCCATTGAGAAAGGAATATTAGCAATTCGAATTTGTGGAGAGCCACAAATTAAACAGGATTTATTGCACATGGCAGGGTATTTTCAGTTATGGTGCAGTCAAGCTATAACTGTTCAGTATATGGATTCCATAGTCAAACTCATGACCTTGCTGTTGCTAGCGCCATGTTTTAGCATTTGAGGTACAGGGTCACATAGGTTTGTGTTTACATGTTTTACACAGTGAGTTTGTGTTCTCAGAGAGCATGAAGCTGATCTGAGTTGTGTGATCATGTGTTCCTCATTCTTGTTCCTAGGGACCCCCAGCATGCCTTTTTTATCACTAATCTGACATGTACAATTCAGGTCATGGAGCTCTCTACAAATGAACGGACGAGTTGAACTGAGTACGTCAGATAAGAGAGAAATCCGAAATGTGAAATGCTCGAGGGCCCCAGGAGTCAGACTGAAATGCTTTTAAATGCAACTCTTAAAAATTATTTACTGTTACAATGTTTGGGGTTGGTAGTTTTTTTTTTTTAATGTTTTTGAAAGGAGTCTCGTATGCTGTCCAAGGCTGCATTTATTTGATTACAAATATATTAAACAATAATATCGTGAAATATGATGATAATTTGAAGCCATAATGATTTAAGCCATTACTCCAGTCTTAAGTGTTTCATGATTCTTCAGTCATTCTAAAATTATGATTTGGTGCTCAAAGAACATTGTTGTTATCAAACAAATGATAACAGAAAACAGTTTTGATGCTTAATATTTTTGTGAAAAATCATACATTTTTAGGATTCTTTGATGAATGGAAAGTTTAAAAGACCAGCATTTATTTTTAGATATAGATAGTCCCTTTGGATCAGTTGAATCCATTAATAATGAATACAAGCATTAATTAAAAAAACCAAAAAAAACAACAGTGGTGTAAATGTTAATTTGCTTGCACAGTTATTGTAAGTAAAGAAAGGTGCAACGTCTTTGTCTCAACAGACCTTTACATCAGTTCTTCTCTCTGTGCAGGTGTCTTTGCAGATGGACTGCCCTAATAATGTACTTATTTAGAATGAGCTAATACAGTAATTTGACAATTTGTGAGAATTAATTTTTATTGCATTCAATTTGAAACAGAATTGTACTTAATCCATTAGTAATTTCCTTTGCATTCCTAAAACAGGGCAGGGGATTTCCAGTTTGCATTGGACTGGATGAGGAGAGAAAATGTCGAAATTTAAGGGAGTTTTTAGTTTTAGTTCACCCAAAAATTGAAAAAAAAAACTGTCATCATTTATTCACCCTCAAGTTGAATCCATATAGTTTTATCCTTATCAGCTGTTTGGTTACCCATATTCTTCAAAATATCTTCTATGATGTTCAACAGAAAAATTAAAGTTTTTCTTCTCCCCAGTGATGCACCAAAATTCAGCCAAAACAGCACAAAACAGGAATTTTTGGTTTCAGCCAAAATAGTTTGAGAGCCGAAATCGCTGACCGAAATATCAAGAGGTAACTTGTTGTCAAAAAACTTTACTATGACTGGTTTAATTTATCACCTGAGAATACAACTGAGGTCACTATGAACAGCATACTGATTTAAATTACCCTAATTTAATTAACCAAACTTGTTGTATGAAAATTGTCATTATTCTGAGCAAAAATGAAAAATTAAATTTTTTTTGGAGTGCACTTCTCTTGAAAAAGCAGTGGTTTATATAGCCCTGTTAATGCTGGTGAGTGAAGCATCTCATTGTTTCCTTGTCTGGTTAGGCTGCTACTAAGCACTGATGTCAAGCTGTACACAGACTCCAAGGACTTGTGGTTAAAGGTGGTTAAAGGGGAACCAAACAGCATTGTTTTGATGTGGGTGTAGGTGGGCGTGCTGTTTGGCTGATGCACGCAGCTCAAAACATATATCACACTTAGTCCATATGAGGGTGGTTACCAAAAGAGTTGTCTGGAGCCTTTTGCTCCATGTGGGATGTGTCATATTTCTCTTACTGTAGTCTTAGTTTAACCCCTTTCATCAATTCACGGAATGAACAAAAGAGAGACAATGAAAGCAGCAGTGCTGGAAATATGCATATAAAAATATGGGTAAGAAACAAATATGTGTCTCATGTGAAGTCATCAATGACCTGTGCTGTTTTTTCAAAGATATTCAAAGAAACAGCTAAAGGAACAGCTGTTATTATAATGTTGTTGTCAATGGGACTATTTTTATTTGGACAATTTTTACAATTATTTTATTTATTTCAAATTAATGAAATTATTATTAAAATGTATATATATATATATATATATATATATATATATATATATATATAACTTAACTTTTTTATGAGACATTCCGTTAAAAATATCTGATCTTCAGCTGTCTCAGCCAGATCCAGAACTTGGACTGACAACAGCCCTTATGTGGACCACTGCAAAATATTCCAAACATCAAATATCAACTGAGAAAATACTGGAACAGAAGGTGGAAGAGAATTGGACACAGCTCAGCCTGTAAACATGCCATCAGCATTACTCACACTTCACATATTTCTCAAGGATTTTGCTCAGAAAACTGAGGCTCTAATGCAAGAAAGATCCCCACAGCAAAGAGCGAGAGAATTCAAGCTTTACGACCTGCAAAAACTTGCCCAAAACCATGTGGGAATATCTGTCTGCAGCTTTTTAGGTCTCAAGGCAAACAGAGAAAAGTCCTTCGTATAAGTAATAAAATAACATAATGGTCCATTGATCTTAATATCACCAGACAGATTCTGGCTCTTGTTCAGGTAAGAACAGACAAAGGATGAATATGACTGCATTCATCTGTCAGCAACAAAATCTCTTAAGTACTATAAATGTAGATGATGCAATAGATGCAGATTTTTGAGGACAGCACAAATTCATCTTTGTTTCAGTGTTCAGGGATACAGCATGGCTTCTGCTCAACTTCAACCCAAAACTGTCTAGCTAATTAGAGAGTAATGGGTAAAAAGCAACAGATGTTGCGAGATATAAAAATTTCACTTTCAGACATTAATATGGCTAATGCTTGTAGAAATTGTTGTTTCTCCATTTCACAAAACTTTTCTACTCTGACCCTTGATCTCTAACTAAATCTCCATTTTAGATTTAGTTTATCATGATTGAGTGCAAGAACATTTTTTGTTAGTAATTTGAGAATGCAACTCGTTTAAAAATCCTAAAAATACTCAAGGACTTGTGATTTGCATCGTTGCACGCAACAAATTGAAGCCATTTATTGGGAACAGCTGAAATTTTATTCTGTCTGCACAAGGACAACAGATGGTCCTCCCTTTCTCACTTTTTTCTTCAAATTCCCTTCCCCCTCTAACCAGACAAACAGCTGTTCATGCCTGACTTCCTGAATTACTACATGTGCAAAATTCTTCTGCTTATGAGAGCATGCAGTCATTCCATATATTCGATGGGATCTGAACGACTGAACCGTGTTAAATAATGTGTAAAAATCCTTAAAATGCAAAGCACCCATATTTGAATATAAAGCTGTAAAATATAGCAATCCTAATCCCTGCAGCAAAGCAAATATGGAAGCGTCCTTCCTATAGGGACCATTTTATTCCCAGCATGTCTTATATGTGACACCGAACTACCACATGCAATTAATTATGGCTGAAGTGAAATGGCCTGCCATCTTCATGAGAAATAAATAGGCATTGTCTAGCATCTCTAGTGGGTACTGTTGTTTGTTATCAAATATCCTTTTTCATTTAGAAGAATAATGAGGTGTTCAGCTGCTGTGCTATGTTTTCCCAATTCACACTGCCATCCATCTGTAATTTAGATTGTCTTCACACTGATTCAGATCTGCTTTTCTGATTAGTGTAATTCATCTAATTTTCAAGAGCAGCTTGTACACATCTCACTTTTAAATGAGTTTAATTGATTGCCTTATATAGTAATACCCAAACATCTGGAGTTCATCATGTAATTCCCTGCTCATCAAACCAATCAGAGAAAAAGCAATCTTCGTTTAAAGCTCTTTTTATGAACAATAACATTCTATGCAACGCATACTGTTTAAATACATTTTTAGCTACAGAGTACAGAGGATGCATGAAAGTACCCGGATGTGTTCTTGACACTGAAGATGCATTGATTTCAGACTTGAGAACCAGCATTGATATGAAAAATTCCTTTTCATTTCATTATATTATAATATATTATATTATATTATATTATATTATTATTGAAAATATCTGTGATCTGAATACCAAAGATCATAACTTGGATATAATAATAATAATTGTTGTTGTTATAAAACCATATTAGTTTTGACATATAGGCTACAGACATTTGAGTCTCTGAGCCTATAATGGGTCACTGATGAGTTCCCTTCAGTCCGAGTGTGTTCACTGACTTTAAATCAGCTGCACCTCTCATTAGTAAGTGCAAACTGTGACAGCTGTCTGCTCATAAATTTGCTCAAACACAGGCTAAATGCTGAACCTAATGAGGTGCGGTGACCGCTCTAGCTCAGTCACACCGACAGACCTCTTTCTCTTCCTGCAGTTTATGATCCGTAAAGAATACATTTAATCTGAATCTCAGTGGTAACAGAATCAGGCCGCATACAGCATGTGGTGTACGATTCACCCGTCCTGTAGCCAACTGATATCCTTCACAGCTGCATGGTGCCAAGATGTCACAATTCTTCTTATATTATTGCACTAATCTCGCATAGCCAGACCTTTGACTAAACAGCATAAATCTGGTCCACACTGCAATTTATTCTAGCCAAGACAGGATGACACATCTGACAGGCATGTAAAGACCAGCCACAGTATATTTCAATATAGCACTACCCAAAATATAGCAAATGGCTGTTTCTCAATATATGTTTGATTTTGTGTCCTTGTGTTCTTGCTCTACATCATAATCAACTGCCAAAGTTTAATTTAAATACTCAAGAACACAAGTACAGAGGAAGCATTAAAGTACCTGGATTCTTGATATTGAGGATACATTGATTTCAGACTTGAGAACCAACGTCAATATCAAAATCCCAGAAGTCATTGCAGGTGGACTATGTACAGAAGCCTGTGAGCTTTAAAGTTCTCTTGTTCTGACTTGATAGATTCCTGCTGCAAGCTCACAAATATGTGACAGCTTTTGCAAATAACCTTTGTCATTTTGTTTGGCTTCATTTTAATAAAGTGATGAAGTCCTGAGGAAAGCCTGCAATATTTTTATTGCCATATTAAAAAGAATCTTAACATTGACAAAGCATACGTAACATTAAATATGCATGCTCATTTACACAATTTATTGCGCGTTGGATGGTGCTGTCCCATTGCTTAAAATGTGTTGAGACACTCATTTAAGCAACAAGATCTCAGCACATCTCAGGCTCTGTGTCCTCATGTCCTTCCGAGTTCGTTCTTTCAATGTGGCAAGTCTGTTCTTCGCATTCTAGGAAATTGAGAAACAGCCCATGTCTCTTTGACACTAAAATAAGCAACATTCTGTAGTGTAGGCCAACTATGGAATCACCTCATGCTGAGAAATGTTCATCATGGTATGTGTGATATTCCACCTAATCAGTTGTTATTTATTTAGCAGTGTATTGGATAATGTGGGTCAATAACATAAAGGTATTCCCTGGGAAGCTGCAGTTTAGGATTAGCCATTCAATAACTCATGTTATTTTGAGACCACTTCACACAGGAGATTGTACGGTAAATGTCACCACTGTTGCCTTAATGTTAAAGATTAATTAAAGGTCATCTGGTTTAGCTAAACAAATGCAATAATTCAATCATGCTGCCCTAATTAACCTATTTGTGTTAGTTCTCACAGAAAAGATATCAGCCTCACGTCTCCTGTAATTAGATTGGAGCAATGGTTTTCAATAAACTGCCTATGTTCAGCCTCCCGTGAGCTTTGTCTAATGTTGTGACATTATTTACTGACGGTACAAGCCTACACACACAGCAGTTAACGATTTCTACTCGATAAGTGAATTACTACAATTACATGGTGGGCACCAGAGAACAGACACTATTAAACTGTCAAGTCATGTAAGTAAGAAGTAACGACATTTGTTTTCCAGCAGGGGGAGGCGAAATACTAAACTCATCCAATCACTGTCATCTAAAGATGGCTGCTGATCATTTACAGTATAAGCACTTTCCAATTAACATTGTAGAAATCAAGTGAAATAGATCTTTAAATGTTGGTGTTGTAAACAGTGAAGGGTTAAAAGAATATTAATTATTTAAAATAACTCATTTGTTTTATTATTTCTAAAGAATGGTGTTTTTTTTTGTTTTTTTTTACTTTGCTCAAATATATCAAAGGGCTCTTCTGATGGAATAGATAAATTCAGTGTCCTCCATTTACAAAGCTCAGACGTTCTGTATTTCATCTTTTGCTGTGGAGTCAAAGGTCACAGATTAGCTGTAATATTGATTGCACATCCTTCAGTCTATGCTAAAGTGTGTGTTGAGCGCTGAATTGAGAAGCTGTGAGTTAGTACACACAGCAAAGAGCAGTAGGATTCTGGTGCAGAAAGGTTGCTGTGTTGAAGATATCCGTCAGAGCTCAGTGGCCTCCAGGCTTACAGGCAGAGTCTTCCTCTGTATTTATGTCAGCATGAGGGCTTGAGCGTCACGGTAAATGCCCTTCTGATGTTCCATTTCTCTTCACATGCTCGCTTTGTAAAAGGAACATGACATACTCTCCCATTTCGTTGAATTAACTGAGCTGATCTAATAACAAATGAGGTTAAAGAGAGATTATAGCCAACAATAAAGACCATTGCACTCTCAGGGATACATGCATTAATGTTTTATTTATTTATTTTTGCATTATTGTACTCTTTTTGTATGGACGGAAGCGATAAAATATATTTATTTAAAAAGAGCTAGAATTCTCTTCATTTTAAAGGGATAGTCCACCCAAAAATGAAAATGTTGTCATCATTTACTACTTGTTATTTCATTTCAAATCTGTATGACTTTCTTTCTCCTGTGGAACATATTATTCTTCAAAATCTTCTTTTTGTTTTTGGCAAACAAAAGAAAGTCATACAGGTTTGGAACAACATGAGGGTGAAAAAGTGATGACAGGATTTTCATTTTTGAGTAAACTGTTCCCTTTAAAAAAAATGCAATTATGAGAAATATATCACGTTTTTGCTTATTTGTCATATATGATTTCATATTTTTGAAAATAATTTTTTTTTATAGTAGGATACAATAAGTGTAAAACAAAAGTGCAAACAAATCTAGTGCTCACTGCTTATATTAATTTAAAATATTCATTTTGGCCAGGTTTCTATGTAGTCCTGCCTCCGACTCTTTGGATGAGGTCCCTTCATGTAGAGGCAGTACGATCAACGGGACTTTAATCACAGGGTTTTTAGTGAACGATACATCCAAAATAACCTGCAACAGAAACAAACTATACTGTAGATGATTTTGAGAGAGAAACTTACACAAAATCTGAACAGTGAAAAAAGCATACTTTTTTCATGAACGCTTTTCATTTGAAGTAACGTGCACTCAAACACTTTTATTTCCATTCCTTTGTTTCATGAGAACACAAAAGCAGACTATAACAAAAATCGGCAACATTCCTGAGTACAAAGTACAGTAAACCCTTTTTGCTGCTGAAAAGAAATCAAACTCTTTTGGAAACGTGCTAGAGGCCTGTCTTGTTTTCTGGTACCTACCTTCAGTCTATACTCGACTTTGAGGATTCTGCAGTTCTGGATGGTGGTGCTGATTTCTGTGGGAAGGACTAATACTTTCGACAGATTCTGTCTGGTGGAGGACACTAAAGGCTCTCCCTTATCCTTCAGTATCTGGGTGGTATGAACAGCTCTCTGGCCTCCAGCAAAGAAGCTTTGCTTCTGGTAGATAATGTACTTTGGCACAATTTTTCGAGTTGAGCTGTTTACAATCTCACCGCTGACGACTAGCCTTTCACCTGTTTGGGATATAAATATTGTATTACAGCTTGTCAAATTAATCAAAGCAGTTATCTATGTTGTATGATGCTTTTTTTAAATTGATAGATCCATTAATTTACCAAAATGCTGGGTATATTGCTTGGGTTACCTTGCTGGTAGCCTGTCTTTGGCAAGAAAATATTCATCGAAATATTTCCAGAGGCAAAAAATATGACATTCTTGTCTTTACTGCCATGCTGAGGTGCCTGCAGAGGATGAAAGTTTTAGGGTTACTTACTTAACATCCATAAAGTTACAGTTACATCTGTTAATCTGTTCATTTAAATGTAGCCTTTTACAGAGTAACATTTTTTTTGTTTGTTTCAACAACAGGACAATGTAGTCTGGGTTGGGCGATATACCAGTAGACACAATTATGCGGTAGAAATTTGTCAGCCGGTAGAGATTTTGGACTATCATCTCTATCACGGACACGGTTACATGCTTACATGACGTTGCTGTACTATGTGGTCACGAAAACGTATTACTCATTTCGCTATATAAGCTCGCTGTCTGAGAGACTGTTTCTGAGTGTTGTCCGAGAGGCTTGCCCACATGAAAACTGTGCTCATAGAGCACAGGAGTATTGAACTGTTATTTTTGCCATTTTATAAGCCTTGAACGGTTAAATACCCACACAGTATCCTTGCAGTAATTTAAGTCTTAAGTGAAAGCAAACAGCTAAGAAAGAAAACGCAGTACATTGGATCCAGGCAGCTCTTAAAGTGACCGCAGTCTAATATTCCTGCTGTCTGTCATTTTTAAAAACATATTTAAGCTAGTATTAGATTTTGTGATGTTGACACTGGGGACAAGAATTTTGAATTAAAAAAAAACTTTTGATATAATAAAGACCTTATTTAAAGCAAAAATAACTATTGTGATATATATAGATATCATTATAAAATTACAAATAATAAAATAATAAAATTACTCATATCATGATATAAGATTTGGGTCATATCGCCCACCTCTATTTTATGATAAAGTTGTCATCATTAAGTTATGTTATTATTATTGGTCCATATATGTCTGTTTTGTATTTCATGCATTAAAATGAGACTTTCAATATTTTTTCTAGTCTAACTGTTAAAAACTGTCATCATACCATCAGTGTTGACTGAACATAATCAGCTCTTGCAACGAAGGTGAACTTTGCTTCAGCTTTATTTGCTGAACGCATAGACCTGCTCAACTTTGTCGAAAGTCGGTAATGAATTTTACCATGAGCACCTTTAAAAGATGAAGGCAGGCCCCTGAAAGAGAGAGATTTGGCATGGATGACTAACAGTCTTCAGAAAGAAACTTGCATCATATGATAGATCAATATTTCAACATACAGGATATAGCACATTGAAGTATTGGCTACATTGCAAAAAGTAACTGAGACTGTTTCAAAGGAAGATTGATTTTCTCTCAGGAATCAATAAAGTATATGCTGTCTATCTATAATAGGGTGACCATACGTGCCATTTTCCCAGGACGCGTCCTGGCCAGGATTTCTATATTGCCTAAAATATCTAGGTTTTGGCTTTGTTTGCGTGTGCAGACCGATCGGTGTATGACATCAAAATACCATACAGATGGTTCCTTATGCTTTCAAAATGCTCTCGAGGTATTTTGATGTCATACACCGATTGGTCTGCACACGCAAACAAAGCCAAAACCTAGATATTTTAGGCAATATAGAAATCCTGGCCAGGACGTGTCCTGGGAAAATGGCACGTATGGTCACCCTAATCTATAAGTCGCATCTATCAACCAGACTGAATGCCTGCAGGACAAGAAGGTGATGACTTACTGGTAGGGAAGTTGAAAGGCAAAAGGGAAGACATGTCTACCAGCCACAAGAGTTACAGAGCCTAGCAAAAAGATACAGACACATTACATAATGTTGTCAATGTTGTCCTTACATATACTTATTTAATAATACACTACCATTCAAAAGTTTGTCGTTGATAAGATTTTTACATGATTTTACAATATTTTTACATTTACAAGTCTCTTACGCTGACCAAGGCTAAAACAGTAATACTGTGAAATATTACTATATTTGAAAATAACAGTTTTCTATTTTAATATATTTTAAAATGTAATTTATTCCTATTATGACAAAGCTGACATTTTCGAGGCCAATACTCACATGATCCTTCGTTAATCATTCTATAATGCTGATTTGTGCTCAAATAAATATTTAATATTATCAATGTTGAAAATAGTTGTGCTGCTTAATTTTTGATTTTTTGATAAATAGAATGTTTAAAAGAACAGCATTTAAACTAAATATTATTGTAATACTGTTGTCATATTATAAGTGTCTTTACTCTCACTTTTGATCAATTTCATGTGTTCTTGTTATATAAAAGTATTATTCTTTTAAAAAGAGAAATCTTGCTAACTCAAAACTTTGAAGAGAATTGCAGACCGCATTACACAATCATAATGTTGTCCAGTATTTTATGTTTCTCTATTTCTAACTATACAGTCTTTGTATTGCACTAGAATACATGACATTAAATGTAAAGATTGTTTTGAACAGATGAATGTTTATAACATTCAGACATTACCATCTGCGTTATCCTCCAGTATGACAGATTGAGTTTGTGAGAAATAAATTTCTTTATCCCAGTATGTCACACTGTCTTCCCCTTGCGTCTCAGTCCATGACACATCAGCCTTGCCTTTCACCTTGACAGTCAGAGCCTTGATTTTGGTTTCCTTTGACATCTCCACGATAACTCTGCCCACCAAAGTATCCCCATTGCTGAAGGTGTTGCGATCATTTAAGGCATCATACTCAATAGCGAAGTTCCGGATCGTCATTTCCTGGGACAACAGGTTAAGTCTGAATTTATATTGCTGCTGTAAGTGGATTTGTATGACGCCCAGGGTTGTAATGATCCCTTCTGTTTTCTATATCCGTCTTTTAAAAATACACCTGTTGGCATCTTTCTGACGGAGGGCTCACCAAACTGGCTCAACAGGTTTCACCTTGAAAAGACGCACCTCTTGTCAACAGGTCTAGCAGGTAAACTGAAAGTGAACCACACAGTAAAATGAAAGAGCTGGATGTATTTCTACATGGATGTATTTCTTTTGTTCAAAAACAGCTGTTTTTAGAGCATGGCAGCATAAACAGCGGCCTTGTGAGGCAGGAAACATGAAGAGCTGTGAACATGGTTCATAAAAAAAAAAAAAAAGATCCCTCTGCTCTTGGTGCACCTGCTCTCCAAACCTGAGCTTTAATCAGTGCAGTTCATCATGGATGTGTGTTTTGTGGTTAAAGAGAATTTGAACCGCAATCACTTTCTATTGTGTGATAATTGGCCTTATTTATTTAAGCATATGAACATGTGTTCACGAAATTAGGTATTGTTAAGATGACAGTGAGTGAGTGTTGTTTAAGTGTTCAATGGAAATATGTGGGATGAAATTTCGACAGGATTCCTAAATGGCAGATTATTTTTGCCATGACTCATTTTCTTCTTTCTGCAAGCATATAATACATATGTGATGGTAATGAAATGGTTAATAATGAAGGAAGGACTCTGAATAAGTTAAAAAAACAGTTAAAAGCTATTCTTGTTCACTAAATCCTGTTCTTTTTTAATAGTTAAAATTGTATATGTAATCTGGCCTCTTTTTTTGCCCATCAAAAAGTATGACTCCCATTTGTTAGCAAGTAAGCTTGATTTTAAAACATTTATAGTTTATTTTATAGTTGCATATAAGTGAGTGGAGTGAATATGGATCAGGATGTGTGTTTTGTGGAGAATATATTGCAGTTCACATATATAATGTTTCAGTTTATTGAAGAATCTGCCTTTTTAGAATTTGGTGAAAATGTAGGTGTTCTATTAGATTCTGCCATTAAGCAATTAGTTTATAATATTATGACATAATCAACATCTAAATTAATTTTCTTTCTGTTGTTGGACATTGCAATACAGGTACATCTCAATAAATTAGAATGTCATGGAAAAGTTAATTTATTAATTTATTATAATGTTAAATTCAATGCACACAGACTGAAGTAGTTTAAGTCTTTGGTTCTTTTAAGGCCTATGTGTTGATGAATTGAATATTGCAGCTCACATGTTTATTTATTTATTTATTGAAGAATCTATCTTTTTAATTTATTTTTTTTATTGTAGTATTAGATTCCACCATGAAGTAGTTAGTTTGTAATATTATAACATTATCAAAATCTCAATTAATTTTCCTAATTTTTTTTTGCACTTTTCCATTACCTCCATTTGACATACTTAAAAAGGACAAGTCAACAAGGTCAGTTGCTTTCATAATGTGTTTAATAGTGGACTAACCACACAAATGTGTGGGCATCAGTGAAAAGACCCATGACATCAGTGTAATGTATGGAAAGGAAGTTGTCTTATGTTCCACACGATATTATCACTGTTATACCTCTGAAGCTATATGCAAGAAGGGTGTTATTTGAGTCTATAGATTTTTTACATCTGTAACATGATTCTAAGATGATATAGTCATGGCTTTTCAAGGGCAGGGTCATTAGTCATGATAAATATATGTGTCACATTCAGCTCTTCATTAAATACAGATTAGAATGAACAGTTGACCTGATCCTCAATGGCTCAACAGATTTTTAAAAAAATTTTTAATTGTTATTATATTTCATGTGAATCATTGAAGCAGGATGACTTGTCAAAATGTGTAAGGTTGAAGCAAAATGATTGGATGTTTATAGCCTCTGGGCATTGTAATGAGTTAATGAGAGAACATTCATGATTTCATGTCATAATGTCAACATAGCTATCAGGCAGGAATTTTTTAATTGCTTTAATATAATACAGCATTGCTTTTTAGTCTTTATTTACCCATACTCCCATGTGACTGATGCAGTGCTTACTGTTCTCATCACCAGAACAGTTCCCCATGTTTTTCTAATTAAGGTCTGCAGTCTAATCTTAAATGGCCTTCAGTAGGGCATAAGAGAAACAGCACTGAAAACAGAAAACAGCATTTTTTTTTTCACTCTTATCTAACTCAGTTGGGTCAGCAGGTATGAATGAGGTAAAAGTGTTTCTAGTTGAAGCTCCAATAATTTATTCAGGCTTAAGCTTGAATAAACATTACTACATCAGAGCCGATTCAGTGATGCTGAAAACTAAATGTTCCGCACAGGAACTTTTGGCTGCTTTTAAAGCATGAGAAAGATAAATATCTATCCTCTTGGATTTGAGTAAGCCCTAAAAGTTTATTGACCAACACAACATGAACAAAAATATTCCTTGTTGTAGATGTTTTCATGTGGCAGATCTTTTTTTAAACATAGTGTTTTTAAGGTATTTCAGCTTCAGGACTTCACCAGGTTTTGCCCTGAATATCTGAATAAAAAGCACTCTGAGATCTAGACTCTCTTTAATATGGATAAAGGACAAATGTTGGTCTACAGTTTTTCAAGATAACATCTGACAAAAAAAGAGGCCCCTTTTGGCCCTTATGCCTCTAAGATTGTCAAACAAGCACCATGTAAAATTATGAGCTTACAGAGATGTTATGGGGCAGGTTGTCAACAGAGCAGATCAATAGTACAGTGCAATATTTATGGAGCAGACATCAGGCTTAAAAGCCCCGAGCAGACAGAAACAGTGGAGCAGAGAGACCAGCAATCAAGCCGATCTATAAATTGCTATGAGGTATAAAGTATAAAAGGAGAACATTAAATAATTTTTTGTAATTAAATTGATTAGGCAAATGCAAGCACACATAAAAGTAAAAAACAACAACAACAAAAACAATCTAGCACACTTCTTTGAACCATTTTACCAAAAGGAAATCTTCATACAAATTCATTTGACACAAAGGTATGATAACAAGCAATAAGTAAACACAGAAGAGTTTCTGCTATCAGTGTAGCACACATAGAGGGCAGTGAGGTCACAGCTGTTGGTGTAATGAAGCCCTTCCTCTTGGAATTCCAGCACCTCAGCATCCGTTGGCACCCTCACACTCTCACACTCTCACACTCACATATTATACAAACACACACACACACACAAGCACACGCACACACACACATGCATACATAAATGTATGTTAATGTAGGAATCCAGTTGTATTTATAAGAATGCATTAATGTGTTGTGCATTTCAAAACCATTCTGACTGGCTGTGTGTCTCTATCATGTCAGTTGTGTGAGCTGTAAGTGATTTGACATCTGAAAGATGTTTTTCTTTGTATTTCTAGAAACAGATGGCAGAGATCGACAGATTATTTTACTTGGTAGACTGTACAAATTTGCTGTTTGAAAACATGCAAGTTGCTTTTTTTTTTGATAGTTTACTTTAAAAAGAGATTGTTACAATAAATGTCAGTATTGTTGCCTTGTTCATATACAAAGGTTTGTGTGTTAATGATTTGTCCACAAAGTTATACAGAGATACACAGTGCCCTCTACAGGTATATTCATGCATACCGGTTATAAAAAAAAAATCAATCAAATAAATGAGTCAAATTTAATAGGCCAATTAATGCAAACAGACCTTTAGACAATGTAATTTAGTAGCCGGTAACCACCTTTGCATCCTGACACACCTGAGGTGTAAACAGCCTATTTTAGTGGTCAAATTGAATGTGTTTGAATTCATTCAGGAGTGCTTTGACATAAAACGGCATCATGACCTCAATTATTACTGATTGCTTCATTATTTTGTAACCCAAAATGTGCCACTGTTTCTTTTTATTTGTTTTTAAAGTTTTATGTTGAAACTGGTTTATTTAGATTATGATTTGTTTCATGAAGTTAGGGCGTGAAAATGATTATTCAGTTTTCAACTATGTTAATGTCACCCTCAGTGGATTACATGATTCTGGAGTTCCCTTGTTTTTTTGTTTTTTTTTTAAAGATGATTATCACTTACAGGAAAGGGGACTCCTGCATATGTGCCTGCCAGGGTGTGGGTGTTTCATTATAATGTGTTGCCATTATGTGGAAAACCAGGAATGTACCAGGATTGTTATAGTTGTCATATTGTTGTTATATTGTTATAGTTGTCAAATACTGAAACACATTTTATGATCTTTGGGCCTAGATACATTTCTAAAAATGTATTACTTGTTTTTTTTTGCTGGCAAAAAAGAATGTTTACTTATTTGGTCAATAAAACATACCATAAAAACAATTTTACCTTACTCTAAAATTAATCGTTAATATATTAAAATAATTTAAATGATTATTATTATAAATTGTTGTAATTATTAAATGATTATCAATATTATTTATTACAAAATATGTTTGTATGTTGATTCATTTTATATAAATCTCCCTATTTGCATTTAAATTGCACAATGCAATTATGTGTGTAAATGGAATAGCTCTATAAAATACAGAAAAATAAACCTGTTTTGGCTTATAACTGTACCTATAGTTATTTATAGTTCTTTATTTCTTCTTTATAGCCGCTTCCTGCTTCTCTCCTGCCACACTGTGTTGTGTTTGTGTCAGCACGCAAATGTGTTATATATGGCTGAACACCAACATTCCTGCAGATTGAGTATTACAAATTAGTGGTTCAGAAAATATGCTCACCTTAGGGTGACAATTTATCTAACCTCACATAAAAACACAGAATCTACCTCACTTTGTCTTGTCAGGGCCTGTATTGTGTAGGTCGTGCTAGCAGCTGCTCCTAAGTCCTGACTCAAGCCGAGGAGGAAATTCCCCAATCTGCTCCACCGAGAGGAACTGTTGTTTTAAACATGAAGTTGAAACTTCATGATGGTGATGATGATGATGGTGTTGTTGTTTGTGGATACTGGGGGGGTTTTGTTGCTACTAAACAGGTCAAAAAGACTGTGAAAGTTGTGGATGTTTGGCTTCCTGAAACCTCAGAAAATCAGTTTTTAAGTTATAAATACCTGATATTCTCTCCCAGAAGACATTTCTGACTACTGTGCCTCTCAGACATTG